CTCCTCTCCTTTCCATCCTGCTCCCCTCCTCTCCTCTCCTCTCCTTCCTTTCCTCTCCCCTCCCCTCCCCTCCCCCTCCTTCCCTCCTCTCCCCTCTTCTCCTCTCCTTTCCATCCCGCTCCTCTCCTCCTCCTCCTCCTCCTCTCCTGCTTTTCCCATATATTTTCATCTTTTCCTTTTCTTCCATATTTATTTCCACTCAAGCACTGGTAAATCTTTCCCTCCATTCCAAAAACATCCTTGCATTAGCCTGGCTCAAAGCAAAGTGTTTGGCATCTGAAATGCCTGTTCTTCTATTGCACTGTAGAAACATTCAGGGATATTTAACACCTAAGCTACTTTTTAATATATGTTTATTTATTTATTTGATGGATGAATTACATCTATATGACCCCCCACACACACACACAGACAGACACATACCCACACTATCAAGCGAATCTGGGGGACTTATGACCTCGCAAAATACCAGTTAGAAAGTTAAGGTTAAGAACATTTAAAGTTAAATCATTAAAACGTATGCCCTACGAAACGTTTTTTTTTGTCATGCATTCTTTATTCCGTCTCTGGAAATTTTCCCTCTAGACCAAAAGACTAAACATTGTTTATAACAGGGGCTGCAAAACAATATTCCCTGCTGCTGTTTTTTTTTTTTTTAACCTGTCTTTGTCTTAACCAGATCCAATTATGGGGTGTGTGTGAAAAGTACCTTTATTTCTGGCGGATCTAATGGGGAGAACATGCTTTTCGGCAGATCTGTTTTCTGTGAGTTTTTCACGGAAATCAGGTTAAATAATCTGCCCTGCCGAACCAGTTTTCCCCATCCCAGGTACCCCTGCCCCCCCCCCCAATCCCCAGGGGCCTGGACTTCAACTCCCAGAATTCTTAGCCTTGACCAGGGAATTCTGGGAGTTGAAGTCCACCCCTCAAAATTCCATGGCTCCGATTAACTCAAGTCTTTGGAATTAACTCTATAAGCAACGCCAAACTTCCTCTGCAAATTTTTGCTTTTTTTACCCCCCCAAGCTTCAATTTCCCATCAATATCCAAATTAACATTTGTGATTTATGATTTCCAGGTGTTTTATATTTAGGTAAAGTATAATAATAATAATAATAATAATAATAATAATAATAATAATAATAATAATAATAATAATAATAATAATAATAATAATAATAAAGTTGGAAGGGACCTTGGAGGTCATCTAGTCCAACCCCCTGCTCAGGCAGGAAACCCTATACCATTTC